TGAACTACTTTTTATGTGATGTAATATGAAAATGTCATGCTCCTAATGTAGTTCTAGGAATGAAGATGAACATTTTTGGCCTCACATGTAGATATTTGTCAGTGCTAGAGATTCACAGGAGATCTATATAAACAAAAATCTTACAGCAACAGTGCTCTTTGGCTCATACTGTTATCCCTATTTAACTGATGTGATAACTGAGGCAGAAACATATTGAACTTTTTGTCCAAGGTCACACAGTGAGGTCAGGAATGGAGCTGAAGCAGAATCCGGCTCTTTCAGTTCACCGCTTTGTTTTAAATTGTCTAATCTCCATTTTAGCTCTTTGGCATTGATGCAAAAGTACAAAAGACTGTTAATACACTGTTATCCTTACACTTGCAAACCCCCAATGTAAAGAGAATGCAGGTTAGGATCTAAAGCAAGTATACAAAAAACACTTTTCAGCCCACTGGATGCAGAAATATTGCAGCACATCCTATCGCTTTAATAATAACTCACAGCAGAAGGTACTTGAGTCACTTTTAGTGTACTGTCAATCCTAAATAAAAGCTCTAAAGACTACTAAAAGTTATGCAATCAGCCAGGAACATGTAGCTGGACTCCTGGAATCACATGTTATAATCGACCTTTTCATTTGTGTATGAAGAAAGTTCAAAAGAAAGGTAAAAATACAAAAATAAAAGCAATATATCTAATTTCTACAGCATGTTACAAGTGTCTTACGAGTACTTAGTAACCTCCTCAACATTTCCATGACAAAACATTACCAGCAGCTATTTCAACACAGAAGCTGCATGAAGAAGATGTGAAAACTGAAGCTGTAGCTTCAGACTTAAGTAATAACAAAAGGCCTCCAAGTGTTCCAGCGGCCAAAAATACACAAACACCAATCAAATAAATACAAGCTCAAGCAGCGATGGGATTCCCTGGCCACCATCCCCCTATTCTGAAGTTAAGGTTTCCCGTGATAGCCTTTGCTTCCTGATCCATGTGAAACAATGTCAAATCAGTGCAGAACAGTTTGTGTGGGGTTTTCTCTTACCACACTTAAACAAAATAGCTTTCTTGATAGTGCACACTCTGCTGCATTTATCCCTACCCCTCCCAGCATTTTAATTTCTTTACAATGAAGAAACATGGCTTTTTCTGTTGAATTTTGGTTGCAATTAGCAACTCTTATTTCTAAGTGATAGCATGTATTGAAAGTTCAAAAGATTTGTGTTCTGTATTAATCTGATTTAATTAACTGTTTAACTCCTCTTCCTAGCTTTCTAGAGCAGTTACCTCTTTGCCATAGGTGTAATTTTTTTTTTTCTCTTGATGTCAGAACTACACCAGAAGAAATGGAGTGAAATAGCACCCAGCACAAAAACCATAATTTAACAACCTGCATAACAAGATTTGGTATTACATTTTGAAAAAGGGCTTAAATGATTCGGACACACCACGGATAATCAGTGGAACTCAAAGTCATTTCAGAAATCCCATTCCTATTTGAAATTTAAATATAAAAAAAAAAGTGCTCAGCTGTTCATAGGATCTCAATATCTCAAACTTCCTAGCTTTGGGAGCATAGCAGAGGCTGTGGATACTTCCCCTCCTTGAAAAACTACAGTTTTGTGTGGAATTCAGAGATCTTTTTTAAACAGCCCTTATTAACATTGTAAAGAAAGAGTATTTTCAAGATGGGCATCAGAATGGCCTGCTGGCCTTTTATAGGGGTGCTGCAACAGTAAGTAAATGTAAATACCTGTTCATTATAGTAGATATGGAGAGAGCTTTCCATTTCTAAGCCCTACTACACATTAGCCACAGAGGCATTCCAGGACAGAGAGAACGAGGCGCAGAGCGACACCAACAGCAAGTCAGACGAGTAGTCTGGGACCTGGCTGTGAGGTACAGCTAAGCTAGAGGCTGAAACTGGAAGACAAAAACCCCAAGCATCACAGCTGATCTGAAAAATTACAGAAAGGCCTCAGATGAAGCCACCAATGACACAAAAAAATCCAGCTGCACTCCAGGAGCTTAATCTGAGTGTAATTGCAGGTGCTGACAGTTCACCAAGAGTGCAATGACCCAGCCAGCCACTCACTAGAAAAAGTGCCAGTGTACAACAAGAATGCAAGCAGCAAATCTGCAGAAAAGCATTTCTCCTAGCGCACAGACCACTGTGGGGACAAATGTTCCACAAGCCTGCAATCTGTGACACTGAGCCCTTCAATCAGATCACAACAGTTTTGAGAATGAGCATCTCCAGCACAGCTCCTCACAGACAAGTATCTTTATCCCATTGCCCGCTTTCCACATTTAATAGGGCATTGGTATGCCACTACAAAGAGGCTCAAAACAGCTTTTTGGTTAGTAGTCTTCCCTATTACCACATGAGAGATTTTAATAAAGTATTTATAAGCTGGTTTATAATGAAGGATATTTTTGGCAGAGAGCTTTACTGACCTGCAGGGCTAACAACATATTACCCAGTTATAGAAAATAGCACAAAGTTCCATTTCATTTTTAACATTGTACACTTGGTATAAATTGCTAGCCTATTACAGTATATTCTTCAAAATGGAACAACTCTAATTCTTTCTTCAGCCCTAAACATCACGAACTTGGACAAAACCAGACCTATTTCCAAATGACATCTCGCTTTGATTTGGGAAAATCTGTATCACCTCTTTTTGGATGCCTTTTACTGAAGTGTACCCCAACTATCTCCCTGCAAAACCAAGAACAGACTGAAAGGGCTGTTAACATTCATATCCAGTTTAGATACCTGACTTGCCACAAAGTAATTATTGCATTTGCTATGTATCTAAGATATAATTAACAGCACGTGACTGAGAGAGATTCATTACATGTCAAACTCCATTCCAACACCTTTACTCACTTCAAACAGCACGTTGCTTTGAGAGCAATCACAGTGATTTCAATGGCACTACTTGCCAAATACGGTACTATTTAACAGGAACCAAAGTGAGCCATCAGGTACATTTTGTAGTAAACTTGGTCTTCACTTGTGTTTATAAACAGGCTGTACACACATCAGGATTTAGCATATATAAACAAACAAACAAGTTACAGAGAGATTCCTATCTCCCAGTGATAACGCACTGTTTGCATGACACTTAGATTTACTTTAACCAGCAGAATATCAAGTCCATGGTATCTTCGTGGTCTGTATATAACCTTGCTAGATAATGAAAACATTGTTATGGTTTCTGCTACTCCTATTTGAGACAGATATTGTAACCACAAAGTTCAGTTGTAGTTCTGACAATTCCAGTTGGGAGTGACAAAAGACTACTGAGATGCCTTAGTCTCTTTTTCCTCAAGGACAAGCCACAAATGCTATCTGAAGAGACAGATAAATTTCAGGCAAAGATCACTCTTGAGAGCAGCTGTAATAACCGTACATATGCTTTATGTGCCTGAAGAATCAATTAATTTGCAATTCTTACAGAAAAAAGTAGACAGAAATATGTAACACAGCTGCCTGTCTTCCAAACATACCATTAGTGTAACTGCTATGAAGCTGGTGTCCAAAACTTGCAGCCATCTGCTTCAACTAGAAGCAGGCAGGTACTCATTTTCACTTCACAAATCACACAGTTAACCATTAAAAGGGAAACACAAACAACACAGGTAGGTCACTAGCCAGAGATCTGGGACACAGGAAGTTAGTTCCCTCCTTTGCTGTTTTCTTGTGCTACTCAAAGAAGCCATCAGTTTACACATCCCTCAGTCAGTTCCTTGGCTTATCAACAGTTCCCTTGGTCACACACAAGTTGCATAGCTATGACAGAGCTTTTCATGTGATGTAATGAGGAAAACAGAGACATTCCCCTTGTATAGGTAGACTTGTCTTTAATAACCTAAAGCAGCTGTGATGTTTGCAAGAATATTCTTACTTTAACATATCAGGCATTAAACAAGCAGAAACATGGAAAGGATATAATAGGCCCAAATAAAACAACTACATATTTGAAAACTTTAAAGATCAGAAACCTTAAACATGGAATTTGAAACAAAACTGAAGCCACCATATTGTGTACATTATTACTGATATATCATCCTGCAGTTAAAACTAAGTCAGATAAACAGGTTATGCTCTGCTTACAAGATGCTAACCCAGCAGAGAAGCATTTGAATGTTACCAAATAGAAGGGGGAAAAAAGTTTAGATAATGCCTTTAACTTGTGCTTTCTGTAATGGAAACTCTGGATCTGAAGAAAAATATATCCTGAACAACTTGTTCTCCCCTTCAAATATTAATCTGTGTGAATTTTTTCAATGGAAATCCACTCAGTCTGCAACTAAAACATCAAAACATAACCAAAAAACCATACAAACCCTGACCTCATTGCCTCTATCTTGATACTTCACCTCATGGCTCCAGTGTGCTATAGGAGCCTTCATCGTTTAACAAAAAACTGCAAACTTTTTGAGACAGCACTTATGCTTGTCTCCAAACTGCACATGGTATCACACATATGAAAAATAAAAGCTAGAAGCATTAGCATAGCAAACAGGTACGAGAACTTTTACACCCTTTTTTGTTCACTTCCTTCTAAAAACCAAAGGAACCAATTTTCTTTTCACAGTTTAACCCTAGGAGAATGCCACAGGCTGCAGTGGACTAACATTTGATTTATACTGGCATGCACAAGCAATAACTATTTGTTCCAGGGCTGTGAAGCCTTGTGTTAGAATATTTATGAATCTTCAACAAAGATTTTTGCCTAGATAGCTTTCCTTTCACATAAATACCATCACAGTATTTTATCATCTAGTTTAGGTAAGATCAGAGGCGTTGCTAGAGGATTTGCAAGTTGGTCCAGTAAGACTAGCATTTGACCTCCATAATAAGGTAATGCTTACATGTTTCCAAGGAATGCAGCAGGTACATGGCAGCCATACCACACTGCGATATTTTAATTCACATAGAGAGCACATCAAGTTTTTAAGTGTTCCTTATCACTCAAGCAAGTACTTACAGGGTCAGAAGGACCACAGAAGTCTCTGAAGACTTTTGGAGGCTCGGGTTGTATAATCTCCATTGCTATACAGGGGCCTGAACACAACTCTGTAACCATGTCCTGAAAGAGAAAAAAGACAGAAGAAAATCTGAGCTTCTTTGAGCATTAGCAAAGGTTGTATTACTCCCTCAAACTAGACCCAAACTTACAGGAGAGGAACAACTAAGAAATATTGGTGCATTTAGGAAAGCAAAGACATGAAACAAAGATGTGATTAGTATTCACAACAAAAGAAATCTTTTCCATTTTGCTACTTGGTATAGAAGGTGGGGATTGAGGTAAATTAGATATACAGCTTCAACAGGATACTGAATAGCATGCAACAGCATCCACAATACTTTAAATTATTTTGTGGATACATCCTTATTGATCTGGACCTGTTTTTCACAGAAGTATCCCATAACTTGTCAAACTAGACTGAATCAATGGAACACACTTTGCTGGGTATAAGCCTGAAAAAAAAAATTAAAAAAAAGAATCACACAATGTTCAGCCAGTTCCACAGGCAGCAATGTACTTCGCAGTGTTCCCTACAGGGAACACGGTACACAGCCCATATTTGTTTCCAAATACACACCTGTTGGATGGCTTTAAGTCATTCAAATGCCTCCTGGGCTTTTGGTTCTCACTGTCTTTTCTTCACATATTGCTACAAAAGCTGAAACACACAAGCCAGCAGAGCAGAATTGAAAGAGGCCTGTGAACAACCTGTTAGGGAAAGGGTCCTTGATCTGGCAAGGTTCTTGTGGTGTACTGTTACCAGAATCTCAGTTACACCAAAATCATCTGTTTCCCTGGAGCCTCCTGGAGAGTAGAGAGGCATCATGAGTTCTGAGTGGGTGACAAAGATGGGTCTTACTTTTCATAAGCTTAAACTAACTCTGGGCATTAGTGCCGATTTGGAGTTTGTTAATTAGAGGTATAGATTTCACAAGCAGAAAGAACCTATTTTGATGTTCTAGTCTGACTTTTTTTAAAACATGCCCTAATAATTGCTTACTTGTCTAAAGATTTGGGCAGACAAGTTTTAAACAAATCAGGACAATTAAAAGGATCAAAACCAATGAGGAAAGGGGAAAGGAGAAAACTTCATAGGAAATAAGGGAGGGCAGGGAAGGACAAGCAAGGTATTGCAATCACACCCACCAGCCATGGGCAGGTCAAGGACAAGCCATGGCAAAGAACAAGAGCATACACAGTGGGCAAAAAAGTAGCAGGAAAAGAAGGATTAAATCCTTCTCTACCTTTTACGAATTGTGATGGAAACTAAATACACAAAGACTCCAATTCCAAAGAGTTGGTATCTTCATAACAGATTCCATGCTGAAAGCATGTTCTTAATTGTAATCTAATGTACATCCAGTCAACGGGATGGAATTTTAGCCATATGCCTCTATCATCAACCTGATTGTAGGAAATGGAGATGAAGTATTCCGGAGAGGACATGAAAAAAGTGCAGACTACTTTCATTCTCTACAACATGAATAAATATTTTAATTCCAAAAACTGTCTTATCACCAACTGATCCTCTGTTAAGAACAGGTCAAAGGGCAATATATTTCATTCTGTTAAGAAATAATAAATTGCCACAAAGTCACTACTCTGTACAATTTCATTGAATTCTGTCATCTAAATAACTGTTAACAGAAAAGTGGAGAAAAACCAGGCTTTTAACTACAGTTGAATCAACTGAATTCCTCCCTGCAAACTGTGGTTTTTCTTGTTCCTCCCTTGTCTATTGTTTCTGTATCAGCACTGACATTCCACCAGCAAAAGCAAACACCGTGAGCAAAGTTACTCCTGACTCCTTCATTACAACACAAAGCTGAGAACTGAAGACCAGCTACCATCAGCACGGAGGCATGTGGCACTATGTGAGACAAGCTTGGTCTACTCTACGCAGCCTCATCAAGTCCAGAGTTGAATTTAAGTAGAAGACACCTTCTCTGGTAAGAGTCCCAGTTACAGCTAAATCAAATTTTCTTTAGGAAATAGTTTATTCATCAAATAACATAGCTTGTGGCCAACCAAAACCATTCCTGGAGCTGGATCAAGCTCAAGCATTTTTGATTAACAAAGTGGATTCTGAGCTGACCCAAAATAACCTCCCTCCTTTCTTTCCCATTTTCTATTCCGGCTACAGTAGGAAATACAAAGCAAAACAGCACAAAAACTAATCAAGTGTATGCAAAATCCCATGCAGGAGATACCAACAAAGCTAAAATTTTGGGCAATTGTTCAGCTTTCTCTTTTCACAGAGAAGTGCTTTATATACAATGTCAAGCCTTTATCTGACTGACAAGGAGTGACCAGAAGAAATGGGAGTACGGTTTTTTGAAAAGCATTTCTGGATGCCAAGTATCTTCTGTGCTGAGTTATTTTGGAATGATAAATAAAATTCAGATCAAACCAGACGGTTCTGAGTCACAGATATAAGAGGTCATATTCTTTCTTCAATATCCTATTTCGCAACATACTTCTTCCTATTTGGCCTGCGCTGACAATATCTATTGCTGTTCCCATATGTGCCTTCTCTGGATCCCTTTACCGTCATGATTAGCTTTCCCACGTTTTCCTGTTTCACAGATATCCTGAGTGCATGGAGATATTAAATTCATTTCATTTCAGCTGAGTTCATCCAGCACATATGGCTTGCAGGACAGAGCCCTAGATTCTCACTTTTCTTCAAATCCCATCTAAAACATATCTTTATTGATTTATCCTGTTTAAATGTCACTTTCCCGTCTGAGTAACTCTCCAATTAAATTATATAACTAAAACTTGCAACTTATTAGGGGGTCAGAGATTGCACAAAAGAGCTGCAGAAGAAGAAGATGGTAGAAAACTTCCAATTTGGTTCAAAACAGAGACATTTGCAGTACCATGGGACTCTTCGGGCCCTGAAATACTGGTCAGATATTACAATATTTGAATTCTGTCACGCACCTACAAGTCTGCCTGTCCAATCTTCCTTTGGTCCTTGTCAAAAACGGTGTTATCAGAGGAGACTTTAAGAGTATTGCCCAACCTGACAGTGAACTAACACTACTCCTAACCTATTTAAAGACAAATCTACAAACCCTGTTGAAGTAAGGTAGACTAAACAATCATAAAGGGGGGGGAAACTAGGAAATTAAAATGTCATTATCAGAGTTACATTAGTAACTGTCTGGAGTAATATTAGTAACTGTGTAGAAAGCTTTTAATAATTTAACCATGTAAAAATTAAGGATAATTTGCATAGCATATAACATGACAGTGAAGCTAAACTCATTCCTATTTGTAAAATGAACCAAAATCCTCCGACAGAAAGTGATAGGGAAAGGCAAGGTCGTCTTCTTGTATTCCCGTTGTTCTCTCTGCAGTCAAGAAGTTTTATGCGACAATACAACGAGGCATAATAATATCTAGATTTATGCTGGGATGACAGCGTATCTTAAACATCTTAAAGTTTCTGAAGATCCACAAAAGTCAGATCAATAAAATTAAGAATAGCTCAACATGTCATTAGGAAAGCATTCGAATACAGCAGTCCCATTGTAAACAAAATAAAAAAAATATATATTCTGGTCCAAGCCACTACTGCAATATCAAATCAAACAAAGATACAAAAGGGACACATTCTCATAGCTCTACCACAATAAAATAACTTATCTGAGGAGGATTTTTTTCACTTTGTTGTATTTTACAAATTCCTTGGCTGAACAACTTTCACAGAAGACTCTCCTTTCTTACAACACAGCACAAGTTTCAAGATGAGTTAGTTTATTTGAGAACAAGGTAGAATTGGTGAATATCAGGTTCCTAAAAGAAATTCTATCACAATCCCAAAAAGGGAAAGATGTGACTGCTTCCCCATTTAATCGTATTTTATTTTTAAACAGATTATTCTCAAACTTATACTTACCACGTATTCTGCGACAACACCTTTGTAAATCTCATAAAATTCTTCCACATTTGCACGCTCCATGTTGAACTAAGAAAACAAAAATGTTAAGCCAATCTGCCTTAAACAACAACTACAACAAAATAGACAGACACCTCCTCTTAACTAGCAAACATTCAGAATACTCTTAAGTTCTGGTAGGTAAAAGGAATGGCTTTACAGCTGTAACATGAAGTCTGTCAGCAACTTAGCTAATGATGCCACAGGCAACACAGCACACAGTATCTTCTTCCACCTCAAATACAAGTAGACAAGGTAGTGTTGGCTGATACCACTAAGACATGCAAGAGGATCTGTTTGTTGAATAGTAAAGGAAAGAGGCTATTCTTCATTTGTGATGGGGATTTCAGTCATAGGGGGATTTCAGATCTTGAGACTTTCACAAAAGTCAAAGGGCAGGACTTAAAGGACTACTCTTGGGAACAATGTGCCAACTTCCTTTAACAGCTGAGGGTGATCAGGGTGTCAAAATCATTTAGATATCTTTAAAAACATTCCCTCAAAATCCTTCTAAATATATGTTTTTT